ATATTAGTGCACAGCTTCTCTTCTCATCTTTTGAGAATTGGCCAATAAATATATGTATGGGCCTTCTGTATTTTGATTCTGACATTATAGATTTGGATTTTGATTATTTTTCAGTCTCGATCTTCCCAGTATGAAGAACCCTTGCAGTTGATGGTTGGTCCCCTTGTCAATTCAAATGCATGGCTCTTATTTTTTTCTAGCTCTAATAGGTTTAGCCATCTCAAATATCCACAGGACTTTTCCCCCATGTTCTTCTTTGTGGGTGCCTAATACTTGAAGGACATTTGGGGGTACTCTGCTATGTTTTGAGTCACCATAATTCCAGGAAAAATTGTTAGGAATTCCCATGTATTTTTATGAAGAGATGACTAATAGCTCAGACAATTTTTTCCCGATTCACTAAAAAAATTTACTATGACTTTTATGTCCACTTGAAAATAGTTGAATTCTTTCCTGAAAACTGATGTTTGGAAACTTGGAGTACTACTTATCATTGTAGACCTGAAAATTTTGATGGGTAATTTCTGCCAAATTCATTGTAGGGATTTTTTTACTGAGATCAGTTTTTAACACTAAGTCCTAAGGCACGGTACACTCTGTTTCTTCATTGAAAGGGGCGCTCGTTTATCTTTGCTGTGCTTGCTTCATCTCCAGCAGCTTTCCTGTCTTTAAAACGCCGCAGGCAAGACGCCCTTATTTTACAGAGTTGTGAATCAATAGGCCACAGCTTACAAAAGGCCTTTGGTGAGACTCCTCCTCCAGGAAGCCTGTTATCATCTCTCCCCATCTCTCTGCACCCCTTGGCTCACACACTGGGGTGCAGGCACACACATACACACACACGCTCTGTGCTGTGAGCCCTGCTGTTTCCGACTCCCTTCTGTGTGGTTGTTCTTCAACTGTTCGTGTATTGGATCTGTCCTTGATTGCGGATGCCTTCAGGGGAACCCTTGCACCAGCTCTGGGGCACACCCCCTCCACACCCCTGTAGGATCAGCTTCCCTGCATCCTGTGCAGTAAGAATTCGATGAACGCCTCACTGTTCAGAGAGGACACTTCACAAAGCATCGGCTAACACTCAAGGCACGTTTTGTTCTTTGGACAAGCTGTACAGCTCTCTGATTCTCGGCTTTTTACACCTGGCCCTTCATAAGCGTGTGTTTACCGAGCCACACTCGGGGCACACTTTAAATCCTCATGTTGTCTGAGGCATCCTAACAGGATCTTACAGTAGTTTTAAGTCAAAAAAAGGTGTGTATATGTTTTTCTTTCTATGTGTAGAGCTTTCTTCTGCTTGTCCAATGTAACGATAGACTCTTCCAGGGAAAGGTATCTCTATAAAACCACCTTTGTTCTGGAAGCCAAAAATGTATGTATTATTAAGGAAACAAGAACAAAAAATACTGCCCGTGAGTCAGTTACACAGACTTTGGTGAAATTTTTCGTCCACGGCTATGTTTTTAAAAATATTTTATTTATTTATTTTCAGAGAGAGGGGAAGGGAAGGAGAGAGGGAGAGAAATATCAATGTGTGGTTGCCTCTCATGTGTCCCCCACTGGGAACTGGCCTGCAACCCAGGCATATACCCTGACTGGGAATCAAACCGCGATCATTTGCTTCACAGGCCCACACTCAATCCACTGAGCTACACCAGCCAGGGCCAAGGCTATTATTTTTAAAGAGTATATCTTTGCCTTGTTTTGGTGTTACTAGAAGTTGCTTCAATCACCATTTCTTCTTTCTGCAAATGTACCAAATCTCTCCTAGATTTTCAGTTTGGAAGATTCATTTTTTTCCTGTTATTTTATGTGCCATATGAGCACATGGGATTTCTTTTTTTTTTTTTTTTTTTTTAGCTGCATCACCTGGCACCTAAAACTTGCTTAATAATTGTTGAATAAATAACATCTAGACTGCATCTAGGTTGCTGGCATAGTTAGTCTCTAACTGATGTACATCTTAGTTTTGCTGCGGTTCTGTCCTTGAACGGATGGTTTTCTTGGATCGCCTTTTCCCAGGAGGAAGGCGAGTTGAACTGGGCTGTGGTGATTGCTCCTTAATGGCTTCCAAACCAGTTCCTGTTTGTCGGTGGGGACCGAGTCTAACAGGCTTCATTCCTGTGTGGGTTTCCAAACCAGATGTTTTCAGAAACAGTCTTTTAGTCTGTGTGCAAACAGGCATCTACCTAGCTTACTGAGAGGACGCATTATGCTGGTGTGTTTGGTTAACGTAAACACATTTTATTCTCTGGCACATTTAATGTTTGTAGTCTTAGTTTTCTATTTCTGACTGGATGGCCCACAGAAAAAATTGTTATCATCACCTTTTTATTTTGCGATTATTGAATTTTCCCATCGACGTCATTGTGACTGAATTTCTGGTAAGGGGCTTACCCTGTTTTTGCTGGATTTTGCAAAGAGCACTATGCCTTCCTGTTCTCATCTTTTTTTGTGGACTTTGGTTATTTGTATGAGAGTAGGTCTCTAAGTTGCAAATTCTAGTTAGGCTCCCCCTTGGAGATCATTACCGAGTAATTAACTTTGTTCATGTTGGTTATGAGACCTCCAAGACTGGCACAGAAACTCTTACATAATCTGCCATGATGTTTTGATCTTTTCCTACTAGTATTTGCCTTGCAGTTATTCATTGGACATTTATGGAGTGCCATTATGGACAAAGCACATTGTTAGTCTTGAGAGGGAAGGATGATACGGGAGCGAGAGGCAATCGTGCTCTTAGGAGATGCACAACAGAGTGAGAAAGTAGCTGTGGAAAAAACCCAGCACGCCGAAGAGCTGTAATTAGAAGCAGAATAAATAAGGACGCCAACAAAGGAGAAGAGGGAGAAAGAATGTTTCCGAGAGGTTTCGTGGAAAAGGTGGACGCTGAATTTTACATTCCAGGATGGGCAGAGTGGTTAGAGGAGACCCAGGGAGGACTTCACACAAAACCTGGAGTGGGGGAGTTGTGGATGCGGAGCATGGAGCTGTGGTCACCTGGGCCGTGGGGCAAGTGCCGCTCGGAAGAGCAGAGCTGGAGCTGAACTTTAGAAAGTGCACTGATTTAAGGGAGTCTCGTTTCTGGTGGTGGAGAAAACCCGACAGATTGTGACAGCTGGTTATTGCAATGCAGTGTAAAACAACCTGTGACTGCAAGGCCATGCAGGAAGATATGGGGGGACAGATGTTGGCCTTACCCCAAAGCTCGAGGATATTCAAAGTTCTCTCAGGTTGGAGAGTTAGGACTTTTTGGTAGGCAGCAGAGAAAAAGGAATGCTAGAGATAGGGACTTCATTACTAGTAAAAATAGTGAATCATTATTGTGTGCATAGTATGTGTCAGGCTGAGAGTGAGGGGTTTGAAGTCTAACCTGCACAATAATGCTGATAGTATTCCCATTTTACAGACGGGAATATGAAACTCCAGGAGGGAGATGAATGTGGCAGCATTTCAAGACAAAGATGATAGGGAGTTGGCACTGGAATCCAGATTACTAGCAGAGGATCCATCAGTATAGCTGGCTGAGCATATACTTGTGTCTCTTCCTCTCATTCCAATGTCCTAAAATTGGCCCCAAGATACATTTTAAAAATTCTCAGTTGTGCGGGCAAGCGGATCACAAACTGGAAGGAGGTCAGGGCCGAGGGTGGCAAAGAAAGAAGCCACAGACTCGAATGCTGTTGGAAAGGTGTGCCACAGAAGGTGGGTGCACAGGTAGAGAGCCGAGCTCGGAGGCCTGTGTGCCAGCACCAGGAGGGGCAGTGCAGTGACTGTCAGCGTGGGTGGGTGACAGGTGTTTCGGGAGGAGCGGCCTCACTGCTACCATTGTCCTCATTGCCAGGCAGTCAGAGCAGCCCCCAGACCAGGAGGCAATGTCCCAGGAACACGGCAGCCCCCAGGGGGAATAGGAAGACCCTTGTCCTGAATGCCCACCCAGACATCCCAGGAGTGAAACTGCCAAGCAGCACGGCTAACCCCTCCCACACTCCATGGAGGCCAACAGAAAGAGCATGCACAGCGAGACCAGCGGGACTCTCAGATCAAAGCGGCCTGTAGGCAGAAACTAGCAAACACTGGAGGGGAACAAACCTACTGGGAAAAAAGGTGCCACATCCAGCAAATGAGACTTTTCTTTGACTACCCACTGCATCTTTTTTTCTGTACCCGTCTCTGAGTATGGATCTCTTTATACGAGCTCCCATTTCCCGCCCCAAACCCGACTGCCCGCCCGCACGGAGGCGCACACCCGTCGTACTTCGTGCATCAAGCCCATGACTTTGTCGCCCTCGTGGCCACTGCTCTCATCTTGCACATAGACCACCTCAGTGTCGAGACTTGTGTGCAGCTAAGGCTTGCTTGAAGGAGACACTCACTGATCAAGTCATAAATGAAGTTTGAGGAGTTTTAGAACACTGAGACTCCAATTTATTCTTACTTTTGAAGGCACTAAGAGAAGCAAGTTGTTGCCCTGGCTGGTATAGCTCAGTGGATTGAGTGCCGGCCTGGGCACCAGAGGGTGACCTGTTGGATTCCCAGTCAGGGCACAGGCCTGGGTTGCAGGCCAGGTCTCCAGTGGGGGGTTGTGTGGGAGGCAACCACACATTGATGTTTCTCTCCCTCTCTCTCCCTCCCTTCCCCTCTGTCTAAAAATAAATAAATATTTTTAAAGAAAATCAAATTGTTAATTTAAAAAGTAATCTAACTTTAGCTGGTTACGGTAAGGCAGTGTATTTCATTACTATTTCAGCATATTTTCCAAGGGCTTTTACACATAGACTTGTGAAGAATAAATAGTCACAGTGACTCATCTTGTTTTAAGTGACACCAAAGACAATCATGGCGGCTGACACGACAAACTATTTTCAGGGTTTCCTTTTTTAACTGTGGCGGTTGCCACTTCGGCGGCAGTGAGAACAGGGCCCACTGTCACCATCCAGGGCCCCCTCCCCCGAAGCATGAGAGCGAGGGTGAGTCGCAGATGACACACACCGCATACTCACGTTTTGTGGCCATCAGCTTTTCAAAGGACTGGGCCCAAGAGAGCACTTCCTCCAGAGTCAGGCTTTGAAGAGAAATGAGAGAGCTCGTTGCACTGAAAGACCCTCACGCTTTCTCTGAACCGAGTGCAAACACAAACGCACCGTCTTGAAAGTAGCCCCGAACGGGCACGCTGCGTTTGCAGTTTTAGTGGGACGTTTATGTCCTTTGATCTTTTACATTTTATTTTTACTTCCTAAATACTGAAAATTATGAGAATTATGAAAGTATTATAAACTTGAGAATATTATCAAGTACATTTTTAAATGGTAGTTCTAGTCCTGTAATCTCCCTTTTCCAAATTACCACTATCAATATTTTGATTTATTTTTTTTTAGTCTTTGTGTTATGTGTGTGTTTGTGTGTTTTTATCCAAGAAGTAATCATACTCTGCTTGTGTGTGTGTGTGTGTATACTTTATGTGTGTATACACACACATATATACACATATATTCTTATGATGAACTTTTATATCTTCACGATTGTCTTAAAAACCATTTACAGTGCTGTAATTTATAGTTATAATTTATAACCATTGATACTCCCTGACTATTGAGTATTCTACAAGGAGGCGTTTCATAGTTTACATAATTATTCTCAATTAGCATTTTGATTGTTTCTCATTTTTCACCGTTAAAACCTGACATGGTCCATCATTAGAGTCATTCCTCAGGAGATTAGCAGAAGTGGGATCAAAGTGGGTCAAAAGATGCACGTGTTTAAGGGTCTCAGCACAAATTGCCAGGTTGCTTTGAAAGCGTTAAGCATTTCACACAGCAACACCTTTGCCCACTTAGCAGGTAGAATCTTAGAGTTTATCCACAAACCCTCTTTGCATGCACTTATATAATAAAGATCATCTATCTGATGGATGAGTATTTTCTGTCTATTATTTGCTATATTTTTTACGCATTGGGGGTTTTATTACTGTGAATAAGGTGTCACGTTCCATTTGATGTAAAAAGCATTTAAAAAAAAGCATTTATCGTTTAGAAAATGTCTGTGAAGAATCCTGACTCTGAGGCTTTAATTTTGTTCCTTTGGGTGGGCTTCAGAGGCCAAGTGGCAATGTTGCCACACAAGTCCTCTTACCTTCCCTGTTTTGAAACACTCGGTGTGTTCGTTGCCATTCAGTTTATGACACATTGAGCCCAGTCGCCCGTGCCGAATGGACAGCCGGTGGCATTAGTAGGCACCTGGCGTAATGGAAGGAGATTTGTTCAAGAGGTTGAAGTGTAACCTTGAACACACACACAAAATAGCGAGAGTCCTAAAAAGGTCAAATGCGTTTTGTTTTCTGAAAATCCAGGCGGCTCCTGTGAGTTTTAGATGGACTGTTTGCATCAGTGCTAAGGCTTAACAGTGTACTGCTGAGAACGGCTTTCCAAAAACATGTCTTCGAAACGGGGTCTGACTTGCTGTTCTCTTCTCTCACTAGAACCAGGGAGGGCGCAGCTCACAGCAGCCTTTCCAGTCTGGTGCCCGCGGTGGGGCGGGGTGGGGGGCGCAGGGGTGTGGGTGGACAGTGCTCCCTGCTGGTCTCTTCGTACCACTGTTTCCAGCATTTGGGGAAGAATACAGCCCTCATGCGGCCCCAGCCCAGGTGCCCTTGCTCCCCTGGGTTAGTTTATAGTCTGGTGTCGCTAACACTCGGAGGGAGAACACGTGTGCCTCCAAGATTCACAACGTTTATGGAGAAAGTGCAGTGATTGTGGTTGGGGTAAAGTTGTGATATTTACAGTATTTTTTGGTTTAACCCCAGTTTTGCTTGTAATTATTTCTTAGTATTTCACAACTTTTCACGTTCCCATGGCTGTCCAGGTGCCCTAGTCGGAATTGTCCTAAACACCTTTGCCCCTTCGCCCACCCCGATTTTTAAATAGGAGTTCTTTGCTTTTGTAGGCAGCAGGAACCAAACGGACTGGGGGAGCATCCTCAGATGTTGTGATGGGAAGAGGAATAGAGTGTTTGGAATCTGACAGTCCTGTCCGTGCTTGATTGTTTGGGTCTTGCTGAGTACCTCCAAGCCTCAGTTTTATTGTCTGTACAATGGGGACAGCAATATCTACATCAGAAAAACGTAATGAAAATGGAACTAGGTCCTGAATGTAAAACATCAGTCAAATGACCGCTACCCAGCTGCCATGTGAGTGTGAATCCTCGCTCCCCTGCCTTCCCTTCCCTTGGTGCCCCGCGTGGCTGGCTGCAGGAGGGCGGGGGAGCCCTGCCAGGGATGCTCGGCAGGAGTCCTCAGCAGAAGGGGAGGAAGCTGCCCCCCAGCCAGCTGTCCCCTTTCCTGTCTGACTGCGCCTGTTGGTGCGACAGTCGCACCTGGTCGTCAGCTTACCAAGCTTCCAGGCTCACTGCTCCTACGCCCACAGGCAGTGGCTTGTGAGTGCTGTGGGGCACTCAGCTGCTTCAGGGCATGTTCTGACATGGGCAGGGAGGGGCTCGGAACTGAGGTCTGCACCTGGGCCGGGGTAGACATGCATAGTCACCCCAGCAGGGACCCTCAGCGCAGGGCTTTTCCGAGCTAAGCAGACCCCGCCCAGTGACTCGTTACCTTTCTCAGGCATCATGCTTGCCATTTTGACTCAGTCACTGTCCCCCCAAGTGGTCCCAGTGTTAAACAGACTTGGGAGCTTGGTAAGCACTGGGCTTCACCCCTTCTCCACCCCATCTCACCTCTTCCAACTCGGGGTGAAGATTTCTGCCACTTTGCAGATGTTGGGTTTGGACCAAAGAATCTCGTTTTAGGAGAGACAATGTAAAACTTTAAAAATATAAACCTAAGAATGTTTATTTATCCTAGACTCTCTAAAAACGTTGAACTTGCTGAATTCCCAAGTGCAAACCATGAATAATGAAAACAAAACCCCGGTGGAATAAAGGGTTGGTCTGGGGGGGTGTGGATCACTCATGTGTGAACGCACATTTTACTCTCTGAACAACGCGTGGGCAGATTCCGTGGAATATGCAGACTCCCATCGGCCCTGCGGTGAAATGCTCTGGGAAGGTGGAGGCGTCGCAGTGCTACTTACTGTGCAGGGCGCCTCTCGGATGCCTCTCTGCATGCCTTGCAAAGCCAGCAAGTCCGCCCGCTCATTTTTCTAAAGAAATACAGCATGCACTTAGTACAATTTAGTGATTTAAAATAATTATAGGCTAGAGTCAGTTTCTAAAGAGCACATGGGGTTCTAAAACTTGAAGGTGATGAGCTACAATCAGCAGTGTGGGGGTGGAGACCTCATCTCATAAATATTTATGGGGATGTAGGTGCTTAGAGTTGTGGCTTTAGAACCCATCTGGCCCACCTGTTCGTCAAGTGGTGACACTTAAACAATATAGCTCTCTGCAAAAGGCCTTTCCATGCAGGGTCATGACAATGAATTTGTCAGCTCCCAAGATTTCTCTTTTTGAATAGTTCTTGTCTTTATTATTTATTTATTTTTTAAAATTTTTATTTATTTATCTTTAGAGGAGAAGGGAAGGAGAGAGGGAGAGAAACATCAATGTATGGCTGCCTCTCATGCGTCCCCTGCTGGGAACTGGCCTGCAACCCAGACACGTGCCCTGACTGGAACTTGAACCACGATCCTCTGGTTCGCAGGCCCGTGCTCAATCCACTGAGCTACACCAGCCAGGGCTTAATTCTTGTTTTTAGAAAGAAGCATTTGCCTCTTTGTAATTGGCCCTATACAACAGTACAAAGCCAAAAGATAAATAAGTCTCTGAACCGTGAATTCTCAGAGGTTGCTGCCTACCTGTTCCCCCCCGTTCTGGGCCGTGTGACCCTGACCTTAACATTCAGGTAGAGTTACGCAGTCCAGGCCTGATGTAGCAATGAGGCTCAATTTTAACTCAGAACATTGAGAGAATGACTTACAAATTTGTTAAGAATAATTAAATCCACCCTTGATACTGAGAGCTGGAAACATTTTGCTAAACATATATTCACACTTATATACAATGGACAAACTGAGTTTTTAGTATCGGTATCTACTGATTTCCTGAGACATCTGTTGAACACTTGTTAGATGGCAAGTCCTGGCTGCCAGTTCTTCCCGTTTTCCGTAAGAAGCAGGTGTAATTCACACGAGGGGGACTGTGACACAGGAAGTCGAGGGGCCCCTGAGCACGCACAGGAAGAGAACGGAACCAGATTTGGGGGATTTAGAGAAGGCTCCCTTGTAAAGTAACTGCTGAGTACAGGGGAGGGGGTGGTTCGGACGAAGCTCGGAGGAATAAATCGTGTCCTATTGAGGAAATGACAAAAACGCAGTCACCATGCAAGTCTAGAGTACAGCAGGGAGAGAGCTCAGGGAAAAGGCCGGCGCTGGCACCAGTCCCGTAGCCGCGTTCTGCATGTTCCCTGTGGTGAGGAAGTGGGGAGAGAGAGTCGTGAGGAGGGGCCGAAGTGGGCACGTCAGGGCGCACACAGCATGCGTGTCGTAGGAGGGGGCTGGGAAGGTATCCACGGTTTTACAACATGGACCAGATGTGCTAACGTCTGAAGTGGTGCGGTGAGGAGAGTGGATTGGCGTGGGGAACTGGGGGGTCCGTTAGGAGGGGACTGCAGGAGTCCAGGAGTTCCTGTTCCTAAAGTCTGCAGTGTCCGGGACACTCCTAAGCTCGGCCGGTGGTGGCCACGAACAGAGATCGAAGACATCAAAGAGAGTGAAAATCTTAGAATTTCAGGGCCCTGAGAAATAAGGCAGACCTGGAGTTGAAAATGTGGGGCCAGGACACTGGCCAGGTGGAGGCACAGGATAAGTTCCTGTTTCCTTATAAGGAGGGGGCGTGTCATGGGTGCAGCTCTAGGCATCTCTGCAGGTTTGGGGATAAGCACTTATGGACATTGTAGATGCATGGACTTCATTTTCTGTGTGGACCTCCGCAGTACAGGGGCCAGGGGCCGAGGTAGTTAAATATACCTGCAGGAAGGCATCAGATTAGGACTCTTGTGACTGCAAATATAGTTTAAACCAGCTTAAGCAAAAGGGAGAGTTTATTTTAAGGACATGTTTGTGTATGTGGTGAGGTTCTGGATGGCCTTCAACGCTGGGCTCTGTCCTGTTGGTGGTCATAATTCATCGAGGTCTTTAAACAAGTGTGATGATCCTGATTAGTCTGATCCTTATCTTGAGTGTGATTGGGCCCCAAGCTACAGGACTGCAGTTCACCCTTTAAGATTCTTCATCTCTGGGATCGCCTGCAAGTTGCACGTTACCCAACGGCTCTCTGCTTATCTTCAAAGTCAGGGGATGGTCAAGAACTTCCTTCTTTCATGTCTTTTCTGTCATTGCAACTGGTCATCCCCACCTTCTTCTGGCCTTGACTTCTCCCCTACCTACATCGACCTGTGACGACTTTTATGTCTCATTGTCTCCTCACTGATCTACTAGAGCAACATGTGCACATTGGTGTTTTCTGTAACTAAAACTGAGGTCTGTTTGCCAAGGTATCATATTTTCTTGTATAACTTTAAAGCAGTTGTTCAGTGAAGGCAGCACGGGCCTCATGTGCAATACCCACTGGGGTCAGAAGCACAGCAAAGGCAATTTCCAGATGGATCAGGGTTTAGGGGCTCCCTGCAGCTCCCGAGAGGTGATGGAGTGTATTGAAGTACCTCTGGGCCTTGCAGCCAAGCAGACCTGTGCCTGAGTTCAGGCTCTTAGTTTTGTGATCTTGGGCATGGTAATTAAAACGTGCTGATTCTCAATATCCTTTTCTCCAAAGTGGAACTGTAAAAGTTCGAAAAGTACATGCAAAACTTTCCGATGCAGTTACTCTGTTGTTCATTCAGCTTTGTGCACTCTGTCACCCAGGAAACGTTTCCTAAGCTTTTTTGTGTGTACAGGGACCACACTTTACAAGACCGCATTTCTTCCTCTTTCTAAATCTCAGCTCGACCCTGCTCCCCTTTCCCCATTAAGCTTATTCATTCTTCTACGCGTGGGCCTCCTCCCAGCCATCCTTTGCCACTGTGTTTCTGTATTTCTGTCATTCATGTATTCTGGTAGTGACTGAAGTTTGAGCTTTAGAATTAGCTGAGTTGGCTACAGGGGTTCCCACACTTTGGGGTGCATGTATCATACTGAGGAGATGGAGCCCCCAAGAAGGGCTTGTTTGCCCAGAAGAGCTCAGGCAAGTTTGAGGACTAGAGGGCAGAGACGTGAGTGGACAGCCCAGCAAGCCCCACCCTCTAATTACACAGGGTGTCCCCTCTACAGAGAAGATGCTTGGATTCACCTACACTCCTCTCGCTAAGCGGTGGCCCCCGGGTGGGGCTTCTCCCAGGGAAAGGCCACCTTCCTGAGTCCCAGCAAAGCTCGGTGTAGGCCACCAGGAGCCCTGTGCTTGGCTGTGTGACCGACTCAGAAGGACGTTCTCTGGCCCAAGCAGCTCATTGGCAGAGTGACATTGGAAAAGAGGTGTAATATAAATATATGTAATATACAAAACCCTTATTATTTATATTTCTGACTTTTACTAGACTATAAATTCCCTAAGTGTTGTATTCAAATGCTGTTTGACAACCATATATATACATATATATATATATATATACATATGTATATATATATATATGTATATATATATATATATGTTTGTCAAGAAAAAAAATATATGAGTGGTTTATATGTTGTCTAGTATTCTAGGTCAGATGTTCACAGATTTGTTAAATTATGCAATACCAATAGAATATAGTGACATAAGAGCATCAGTGATTAAATTGAAATAAATTAGTGGCAGAACTATGTGCAAGATGTACTAGGCTTGGAATAAAGAGACTACAAAGCAGTCTTATTTTATGAAGCTCTCTGGTTTTTTAGTCCATATAGAAATGGGCCTTTTTGGACACACTCTTATAGGCTGGAGTTCTGCTCCCTGCACCGTCAGGTGCCTGGGGCCCTGCTGGCCATCTTCTAAGCTTCTGGGACTAAGTGTCCAGGCGCCTGCTGGCACTTTCCTCTCTGATTACTCCTGGACTCACTCTCCTACGCGTACCCCCTTTGCTTGGGTATCACAGAACATGCCACGTGTTCTCCTAATGATGCCTTCTGTGTGAAACAAGGTCAGTTCACAAATACTAACCCAGCTTCTGGTAATAAAACACACTGGCCCCCTGCATGTATTACCTCTTCCAAACAAAGCACGGCTGAAGTATGGGAAATGAACATACCAGGGTTAAACGTGAAGGAAAAAAGATTCAGTAGGGACAGAGAAAACAATGAACTGTTCCAAACTGATTTTGGAAAGCAAATGAAGGAATAGAAATTAAAATCACATACCTCTAATTTGAGAAGAGAAGAGGTAGGCTTTGGAATGTCATCTGAAAAAAAATAAAGAAAAGGTAATTCACAGTCTGAGGATAGAGAATTTTCAAAATAACTAGTGGTTGAAACAGAATGGTATGCAGTCCTACATTCAACAGTATTTATCATGAAGTAGTACATCTGTTTAATAGTACCAAAAATGCAGAGGGCAGAGTGAAATACTGCCCTACTTACAACTGAGAACTTGTAAGAACTTTTGGTAATTCCAAAAACAGTAAATTCTAAATTATTTTTACAGTAGAGTTCTTCCACATTAGAATTTGATCAAAATATTCCATTGATAAATTCAAATTTATCTGGTCTATAGTTAACTGAAATTAAGATAATGTTTAGCTAAATTATAGTTTTGGCATTAGAACACATGTCATTTGGCATTAGAACACTAGGTCATTTACTAGTAAAAATACAAATTATCCTAACATATTCCATAGAACTACAATTCTATTTTGGCAAAAAGGGAATTCCCTGAAGAATGACCTGAACGAATATGATACACAGTTTATTTAAATTGGAGAAACTTACCAAGCTTCAATCATTAATAATCACTTTTTTCTCATGTTTGTGGTATGAGATGTGGAAAAATTCCATTGACCTAAAAATAAAATAATAAAAAAAACAAAACCAAAAATTTTATTGTGTGCTTCCTGGAGAATGCATATTTGTCAGAGATTTCTATAAATACCCTGCCTTACATTTTAAGTAAATAATTTATTTCCTTTGTAAGGATTGGATTATGCTTATGCCTATTTTTGATTTGTTAATTTCTTATCTAGAATTAATATTAATTTTATGGATTGATATAAAAATTTTATACTTTTAATTTGTATTTTCATTGCTTATTATTTAAATATTTTTGTTTATTTAATGTTAACACTATGCATTAATTCTCCTATCATTTTTATTCTTCAGCATTATCTTGGTAAAACTAGTGTGCACTTTTATAACTTAAGTGTATTTATAACCAGTTTGGGTCACCATAATGATTTATTTCTCAGTGTTTTCCCCTGATTATTTTAAAGAAAACATGCATTTCATCTGTAGAATCTAATTCTTAGAGTGGTTATAAATGCATTAGTGATGGATTGAGCTGAATATGTATCATGCCAGAAAATAAATTCAAGTTTCCTCTAGCATTTAAATGAAAACTTTCTCAAAGCAATATGAAAAGATAAATGAATTTTCTTAACTTGAGCCTTTTCACACATTTAAAATTTTGATTGTCCCGGTAGACAACTGGTTACTCCTTTCTGTTTAACATATAGTATCTGTATTTAAGTGCGTTTCTTTATGTTGTGATGTAGCATGTCACATAAACTGTAGGAAAACCTGGAACAATTTACATTTTTGTAAAGTTTCATTTGCCACAGCACAAACAATTTTTGCCTTTCAAAAAGCAAGTGATTTGCATGTAGCTCTGCCTAGGCCTGACATTAAGGAATGAAGAAATCCTGTAAAATCAAGATTAACAATGCTTCATGTAAACCTTACAACCTGAGGTCAGTGCAATTAATGGAATAATGGAACTAAGTATTTGGTAAATGCATGGTTTTCAAAACCATCAAGTCTGACTTCATATCTTTATCTGAACACACACACACACACACACACATACTAACTCCATAGAATGAAAGACCACACGTTCTCCACTCCATTGTGGAGTGGAGAATGTACCCCATCTACAACTGTGCCCATTTACAACTCCATTTGTGTATGTGTGCCTGTAGGTTTGTTTTCTCTTCCTCCTTTCCTTTCCTTTTTTCCTTTTTCAGCTGTAGGAAGACTCGGCCTGACCAACATCTGGGTTTTCTAGTTTATCTTCCTTCGGAGAAACCTAGTCCCATTTCCAGCAGCCCTGCTGTTGAAGTAAAATCCCAATGAGTCGTTTCCACCGAGCAAAGATCACTGTGCTCACCACTGCGTTAGAGTCTCACACTTACAAACATTCCGTGTAGAGCGGTCCGCCGTGCTGAGTTGTATCTCCTCTGTGTAGGGTCCTTTTGCAGCCAGGTTCTGAAACCTCACGAGGCACCCAGCATTTTGTTTTTCCTGGCGTGAAAGAACTTTAATTGCCTCTGTGATGACCTTTGGGGGCACTCTGGTTTCTGAATGAATGTCCTGCTTTTGTGCCTGTATCTATGCAAAGAGAGGTTTTGTTGAATATGGAAAGTAGCGCTGGGGACTCCATGCACCGCTGATAAGGAGGTTTATCTGACAGCATCAGCCCATCTGAGGAGTCCTGTGACCGGAAGCAGTAGCTCCATGAAATCTCCAATGCAACAGTCAAAGTTTTTCCCCCCAAACAGTTCATTTTTCTAGTTTTAGAAAAAGTAAGGTAAAATCTCCCTTTGAAAACAGGCAGAGAGCTGAATACCGTTAAGTAGGCTGTCTCTGCAAACTCTGGCTGTGGACTTACTGAGAACTGTTCAAATCAGCCTGTCGATTTACTAAGATGGGTAAGCACTAGTAACAGCTGACAGATCCAAAGAGGTCTCCTTTCTAGTTGCTGTCACTGGTCCTCAGGGGGCCGTTTTCCGAACCCCCACTGCTCCCCGGTTTCTTCTTATACCCATTACAGTCTGCACTGAACTCAGTGTTTCAGAGGAGGGCTAATGAATGCAGAGTATGATGAGATTGTTAACATCCTTTCCCTGCGTGGTGTCTAACCATGTGTGTGTGTGTGTGTGTGTGTGTGTGTGTGTGTGTGAGTGTGAGTGAGACAGCCGTGGGGGTTGAGAAATGCTAGAGTAACACCGTGAAAAAGATGAGAGTGTAGTTGATGGAGTGTTCCTTAAAGTATTTAGGGGCCTAATGAGGTAGATTGCCTTTACTTGTATTTCAGGGTTTGCGGTCCGTAAGTTTGGGACCGGAAAAGGTCAGCAAACTTCATAAAGTCTGGAGCCCAGGAGAGGATGCGGGAAGCGGAGGGCAAGAGCTGGGTTCGTTGGGAAGGACGCAGGTTGTTCCCTGGACGCCCTCCTTTGCACGGGTTTCTAGTTGTCCAGTCCCCGCCCCGCAGGACCTGTGAGTGTCCCTCCAGGCCCTGTGCCTGAGAGTCAGCAGTATTCCCTGTTTCTCGTGGGACTGGGGTTGGGTACAAGGAGCAGGCAGGAAGATTCTGGGAGGGACGCCCTGTTAGAAGGCCCTTGTCAGGGCCCCAGGACCTGATTAGAACATGAGTGTCTTCCTGTGGAGTGAGATTGGGCACCCACATGGGCTGAGAGACAAAACAGAGGAGTGAAGAGTAATAAGAGGGGGTCGGAACAAATGGGTCCTGGAGGGATTCTAGAACCCGATGGAGACAGCGTGGCTGACATCTACGCATGTTTAGTGTCCCCAGAAAAGGGTAGGCCAAGTACAGTTCGTGGATCAGAGCACTGTCATCCTCCGTACAGAGAGGGGCTGGGCCCAGTCACAGATGCTGGTCTGGGCAGCTGCCAGGTTCACCGGTGAGCCCCCTGTGGTGCCGGCTCAGAGTGGCCCTTGTTTCTGATGAACTGGGATCTGTTGACTCTGAGCACTTTTGTTCCATTTCTGTCTCAGCCAAACCAAGTCCGAAGTAGCACATTCAAATGTGCAAAAGCAAGAAGATGTAACGCATTGTTTTTCTGTGGCTAAAACACAAAGTGAACTTCTTCCCGTGAATGAGACAATGAGGTGTGGGGTGCTGGTTACTGTCTTTGGTGGTAGTGTAAGAAAAAGCCTACTGTGTGCAGGACACCCTGTGTATTTCATGTAGTTGTTGCCCCTTGTTGAGGTTTCCTAGTGAGCTTTTAATTTTATTTTTGTGTGTAGATGCATAAAAATTACCTTTCTTTTCTTTAACTGTTTTATCTTTAAATTTTTATTTTTTAAATTCTGTCGAGTTTATTGGGGTGACATTGGTTAATAAAACCACACAGATTTCAAACACACAGTTCTGTAGAACATAATTTGTATATAACATTGTGTGTTCCCCACACAAAGTCAAGTCTCCTTCTTTCACCATAGATTTGACCCGCTTTTCCCTTTTTAATATATTCTGCATATTTTAATGTGTAGTTCTTAAAAGATGATTTTATGTATAAGTAACAGATCGTCATCTTTAACATATTCTGGAATTCACTCACAATCCCTGGTGAGCTCTTCGATGAGGTGTAGCCAGTAGGCAGCAGTTTGAGCTACTGTTTTCATCCCCACACTGCAGAGATTCCCTGACGTGTCTGGAAGCATGACCCCTCTCGGACGTCCTGTGGTCCTTAGGAGAACTTCCACGGGAGTTTTCTAGTGTCACACTGCTCAGTAGCTACTTCTGATGTCCAAGTAACCTATTTAAGGTGTGCTTTTGTTTCCTCTAACTGAACTGGAAACTAAGAGGTTAGATAACAAATAATGGGAACACTTACTGTGGTACCTACCGCTTAAATGTCGTGGAAAAATGCTAAGCCCTGCCTAGTAATTTCAGAGGACAAAACCTAGAGAAAGATGAGTGGCAAAGACAGTGTTTGATGTGAACATGTCGGACAATGCCTCCTGAGTCTTTAACAGAAGATTTAAAAAATATTTTAGCCATGCATTTCTTCATGAAAAGAATTAAAATATTTTATTCAAGTCTTTATTTACAGAGATACAGAGTTTTAAACAAAAAGTTAAGAAAAGTTAGAGCAGTACCTTGGTCACACAGCCAAACTGCTGGTGTCTTCACCAGCACCTTTGTTGTCTAACCAAGTGAGAGGCCCAGCCCTGCTCCCTTGAGGGGGACCTGTGTTGGGGAGGGCCCCATTGCCTTTCCCAAATCCTGAGACACCCACCTGAATTTCTTCCTTGCCCCAGGCTCCACCTGCCCCTTTGCCAGAATGAGTTGTGTCTGCTCCTTGCGTCCTTGACCTTTGGGTCTGCCCCCCAGCCTTTCCCCTTGGTCCCTTCTGCCTGCATCATGTTCACGTGTTGCATCTTTGCGGAGCGAGTGCAGTGAATCTTCACCGACTCAATGCCCGCAGTTCCCTGGTGTGGCCTCACCGCCGCAGCCCAAGGTTTGACTCACTGCCTGGCCTTGTCCTCTCTGGCTCGCTGCCTGTGAGAAGCACTGTAACTCTGGCTTTGGCCTTGTGTGAGGCTGAAACACAGTGACAACACAAAGTGGAACATCGGCTGCTGCCAGCACGGAGTGCACTTAAATAGCAATTAAAATTAGACACCAATTTTGCCTGTGTTTATTCAAATGATTTACTCTAAAGACACTTTGTTACAGTCACATTTCTGCCAGTCTATAAATCCCTGTCCCTAAGCTTACCTCTTCCAGTCATTATATTTTCTTCCCAGCGGCTGCTCTAAATCCATTCTCTTGGCCTTTCAAGGAAACCAGTAATGCCCGCAGCGTTCTGAACCCCTAGTTTGCAATTGAACGGAACAGCAGCCCTACCTGCTTTCCATTTTCTCTGAGCACTTATGGGCCTCATTGTGTCCTTGACAACTGGATCACAGATCAGTTAGTACCTTCCTGTTTCCCCCAGAAAATTGCAGGCAACATTAACAGCTATGAAAGCAATGTTCTTTTCCCAGAAAAAAGGAATCAGCTCACAGTTGTTTAATTTGGAGTGGGATGTGTCTATTAGCTTTTTGCACGTTCGTGTTGTTTATCTGCAGGGCCCCCAGACAACAGGCCTGAGGGGACCTGCTCTCTAGGGCTTGGCTTTGCCCAGTAGCCCCAGGCACTTCCAGCCAGGCCTGCTGAGCTATTTTCTTGGCTTGGAGGGTTCCTAGACCACACAGGTGGGGTACATGTAAACTACAAACGCAAGAGAGCACACACCTGGTATTATGCCGGATCAGACACGGTTCTTTGTCATCAGTTTTTGCAGGGAACCTGGTTTCCCTGTTTACTGTTTCACTGCAGATGGAGCACGTTGAGGGTCCTTGGCTCATGTTCCTACCTGTCCCACCTGAGAGCTCATTTTCTGGCTCACGAAGTACTCCTGAAAGCCAGCCCTTCAAAGAACTGAGGTTAGCGAATGCTGAGCTCAGCTACACGTTAAATGCTAGTTTATCGCTCAGATGTAAGCTTCCCTCTGGTTTTCCTGGGAGTTACTTGTTATATGTACATATATATTTTTTCTAGTAATTTGAGGTGTCTGGTAGTGAAAGGATCTTTCAAGATACGTCTTGGCTACATACTTCTTTTCTTTTATATACAAAGTAGTACGATTTATTCATTGTTAAATAAAGCCAAATGCAGTGAATTATCAAGGAACCTGGAACTTGAGGCTTTCCTTGTTACCACCGATAGAAAGCACCATTATTTGCATCTTTTTTAAAAAATATATTTTATTGATTATGCCATTACAGTTATTTCCCCCCTTCATTCCCCTCCACCCTGCACACCCCTCCCCCCACCCCCCCTTCAGTTCATGACCACGTGTCTCAAGCTCTTTAGATTCTGTGTTTCCCTTACTATTCTTTAGGTGAGGAGCACCTGAAGGAGGTGCACCTAAAGGCATTGCGATTTATTCTAGTTCCTTATAGAATAAGGAACTGCTCCGTGGCTGCCGGGCCGAGGCCTGTCCAGTCTGTCATTGCCTGCACAAGCCACTGCCCCGCCCTTTGTGTCACCTGTCCCTTTCTGCGGGTTTGGGACTTTTCTGCTGTAGCAGAGGGGCTGACAAGAGGCACCTGTGCCATGTCTCCTGCTTTCTTCTTCTTATTTTTAAATCACAGGGAGGAAAAGCCAGACGAGTCTGTGCTCGGAGCAGCGGGGAATGCACAGCCCACACGCCCCCTCTGAGGGGGTCTGTGTTGTGTCCCGGCTCCTGGGAATGCAGATGGCGGGGCAGAGACAGGGGCGTGCTGAGGAGGAGGAGGCCCTTCCGTCAGCTGGCAGGGGGACAGGGAGGGGGGAGAGCGTGGGGTCGGCCTGCGTGGCTTCCCTCACCTTCGCCAAAGGGACCTCTGTTTTCCTCGCACCCGTTTCAACTGCGGGTGTCAGCACACCACTGACACGGGCGTTGCAGATGCTTGACAAATATTTGAGGAGTGGATGCATGTGCGCCCTTTCCAGTGAGAGTCGCCCCAAATAAGAACTGCCCTACTGTGCTGTTAACCCATTCCCAC